AATGAAAATTTAATTCATGTGGCCTTATCTAACTTAAAATCATTATGTAATATTATATTATATTAGGCCCTAGCATATTCTTCAACATAGGTGAATTTGAGAGTAATCGGAGGTGTTTTAAAATCTAGAGATAATTAATTAATTTGATTAATTAATTTATTCTAAGTGCACTATTCACTCCATTGGATTTTCGACTTGATATTATTGATGTGCATGCCATATACTTTCACATATATTAAATCAGGAATGTTTGATTAGGTTTTGAAACCTTTCATTTATTATTTTTCTTGTATGAAGGTTTAATTATCATGGTTGTAGCTTGCATGGAAATCACTTGTATTAGGTTATTAAATCAAGTCTTGGCATGTTATATAACATACTTTAATTTGAGAGCATTTGGATGAGTTTTGAAATCTAGAGATTTTAATTAAAAAAATTAATTAAAACCTATTCAATGGTTCCATGAATTTGATTAAGTTCTAACTTGGTATTCATGATTTCCTTGACAAGTTCATTCACGTATATCAATTTGAGAATAATCGGATAAGTTTTGAAACTTATATTTAATTATTTTCTTTATATGAAACTTAATTCACATTGTTGTAACTCGTATTTCATAGGGCTTTTAGCTTTTTATCATGTATCTAGACTTCTTGTGACTTGACTTCATTAATGTGTTTAATGAATTAGCACAATTGTCTTGGAATGATTTAATTATCCATGTATTACTTAGTAAATAATTAAATCATTAAGCTTATACTTGTGGTATATTTACATCAATGGATTCCTTGTGTTTTAAATCATAGTTTGTAGTCTATGTAGATGCATACTATGATTTCTTGACATTTCACATGCCATCATAGTTGAGAACTTAGGGTATGACTTGTGTGTTTCCAAAATCTTGGTTGTGCATGAAATGTGTTTAATGTATTACTTGTATCTTGATACTATCTTGACTTGTATAACTTGTTGATTTTGGAAACTTGGTGATATCAATCAAGATTTGACATGGCTAGGACTTGGTTCTAGTACGGGAGATATTGAGAGCTCCCTGTCTTATAGTGCGCACTAAGGAAAGGTATCCATAGGTTAGTAGCCCTAAAGTGATCCTAAGAGTACGGTTTTAATCCTGGCGATATCCGAGTATCCACATTATTTGATTTAAACCCTTAGATTTCAAGTGTTATCTCTTGAAGTTCTAAGATCTTGTTGTATTTTATGGAATATTCCAACCTTGTTTCATTGCATAGATTTTATGCTTCATCTTTGATTTCATTCTTTAAATTTCAAGTGTTGTATTCCTTGAGGATTTAAAACATTTTCGTGTTATATGGAATGTTCTAACCTTGTTTAATTGCATAGACTTTATGTTTTGCCTCGATTTCATTCTTTAAATTTCAAGTATTGTATTCCTTGAGAATTTAAAACATTTTCATGTTATATGGAATATTCTAACCTTGTTTACTTGCATAGACTTTGTGTTTTGCCTTGATTTCATTCTTTAAATTTCAAGTGTTGTGTTCCTTGAGGATTTAAAACCTTTTCGTGTTATATGGAATATTCTAACCTTGTTTAAATTACATAGACATCATGCTTTGATTTTGATTTCCCTCTTTAAGTTTCAAGTAATATCTCTTGAAGATTTAAATCTTGTCGTGTTGTATGGAATGTCTTAACCTTGTTTAATTTCATAGATATCTTGATTCATGTTGATACGACTTAGAAATGATCCTATGTAAGCATCTTGACTTAGATTCTAGATGGCATGAGCCCTTTTAACATGTTTCAACTTAAGGTGATAATTTTATAAAATGCTAGGTCTATGTATGCTCATCTCATACGAGTAGCTTTATGTTACTCACCCCAAAGTTACTGGGGCATTTTTCAGGTACAAAGGCTCATCATTCCTTTGATGATTTGTAACTTTTAAGTTTCCATTTCATGTAAATGTTAGCATGAAATGTCATTTTGAAGCCTTATATGTCAAAACTTGTATCTTTGATTCCATATATGTAATGTGTACATAAGTGCACCTTTTGTAATGTATTTGACGTGTATAAGATGAGGCCGGAGGCCAATGACATGTATCTTGTATCCTATGTAACTTTTAACTTCATAAAATATTATGAAATATTAAAAAATCGTAAGTCATTGCTTCACCATGTTTGCATCGGGTGTGGGAATTCCATTATTTTTCTTTCATAGGGTCTCATTAATCATGTATGAAGTGTGGCCAAAGGCCAAACGGTAATTTGATACCATTTCACATTTTTTGGTTTTCAAAATTCCGATTTCAAGTTCATTTTTATCATTTTGGCCGTCGGGGGGTCGGATTTTGAGTCGAGGCTTCTCGGGAGCCGTGGACCATTCCCACGCATTTAGAATCATTTATTACACTTGTGTGCACATTTTTTTCAACCTAGAAATGCATTTAGGGTCAAATGCATACTTGGTGCAAAGTTGCATTTTTTGAGTTTTTAAGCCTTTTCTGATCTAGGGGCACTTTGGTCATTTCATAGTGTGTTTTTTTTTCATTTTCTCTTGCGATTCCAGGTAGAAAATTTGATTTCGGGAGGGGTTTCTTCTTTGTGTTTTTCTAGAAAAATTCGTTTGATAGCCCATTTTTGCTCTCAGATGTGGACAGTTACTAAAGCAGCTTTTTGCCCTCTTGACCTTTTCTGATCTAGGGGCATTTTGGGGTTTTTGCAGTGAGTTTTTTTTTTTTTCGTTTTCTTCCATATAGTTGGGTAGAAAACTCAATTTAGAGGGGGTTTCTTCTTCTTGTTTTTCCATAAAAATTCGTTTCGGACCTCGTTTCGGCTCTCAGTTCTGGCAGAATTTTTTTTCCCCTAGCATGTCATGGTGCATGGCAGAATGCTCGTGGGATGCTTGTGGGGTGCTCGTGGTGCCCCATCTCGACGTCGTGACGTCGATTTTTGTTTTCGCTCGTTCTCCTCCGTCTAGACTCCAAATTGAGTGAAATTTTTTTTGACCTTGACTAATTTTTCGCTGTCTTTCCAACAATGTGCTCGGTTACAACCTGATCTTCCTGGATAATTACCAGTTTACCCTTTTAGCCTTAAGTGCTCGTTTTTCTTCGTCTTGCCGTTTCTCCTTTGTTCGGACTCCGAATCATGTGATTCTTGAGTCCATCTTGATTAGTTTTTCATTGTCTTTCCATCGGTGTGCTCGATGACACCTGAATCTATATTTTCAGAAATGATTATTTTGCCCTTGGGCTATTTTTGTCTAGTTTTTTCTTGTTTTCTGCTTTCGCTACCTTCTTTTGAGTTCCGTGATTTTATGGGAAGTCATGGATGTGTTTCGAGAATGATATACATTCCAAGAACGTCATTTCCATGTAAAATGGCTATTTTGCCCATGGTGGCTTAATTGTTATTTTTTCGATCTTTTGCTTCCGCGTCAGTTCTCATTGAATTCCCCGGCCTCATGGAGGTCATCAAAATGTCTTAGAGGTGTGTTGTGCCTTGGGAGACCGTTGTCTTGTTTCTTGCTTCCACATCTGGATCCACTATCGGGTCAATCTTCGATTCATTATAGAAAGACTGACTTGAAAAACCAGGGCCGTCATAGACTGAGGTTCTAAACCTGTTGTTCCAATGCTGTGACACGTTCCTCATCGTTTGGAACACGTCTAGGCGCGTTCTCATGACGAGATGCATGCTCGAACTGATCTCTTCTGATGTAAGGCTGAGTAGCGTGAGGTCGGTCATCCTCGTGACGGGGTTGGTTGTTGTCATAGTGTGATTGATAACCATCGTCATGATGCAACTGTTTTCCATCGTTATGTTGCTGATGGTTGTTATCATCACCATGTTGCGATTGATTTCCGCCTTCATGTTATTGATGCTGCCTGCCATCACCATGTTGTGACTGATTTTCGCCTTCATGCAATTGATGATGGCTCCCATCATCATGTTGTGACTGGTTTTCGCCGTTGTGCTGTTGACGATGGTTGCCACCATCAAGATGTGAGGGGTGCTGACTTCCTTATCCGAGATGGACTCCGGATCGCAATTGAACCATTGTTTTTCTAAGAAACTAGTATTGTTTTCCTTAGATGGCGCCAACTGTTGATGTAGGATTCCATTGCGACCCAAAACGACGTCGTACCTGGAAGAGAAAAAAGAAAAGGTGATTGGGAAGACACCGGTGTAGTGTTGGTCTAAGAGCCTCCGACGATCAAGTTAGTGTTAGATCGGTAAGGGAGAGAGAGAAAGAAAGGTATTGACTAAGGATTTGTATCGTACCTTTTTTTTGTTGACTCAAACCAACCTTTTATAGAGGTATCAAGTTGCATTAAAATTGGAGAGTTATACCTTTTACTTCTCCAACATGGATGGAGAACCTTTTCTCATCTTTATCCAAGGCACCGGAACTTATCCAGTTTTATAAACTTCAGTCAAATTTTCTGAGTGAAAACTCCTTATCAGCATGTTACAGATAAATAAATTCAAATATTATTTAAAAAAAAACAAAATCTTTTAACTAAATTGATACAATCAGTGAATTGCATGAAACCCACTTTGGGAATATTTTGTTAGTAGTTGCCTAAAAGAATAGTTTATTGCAAAAGAGTTATAACTTAAGAGGTTAAATACAATATACCCTTGAAAATTGATAAACTGTATTTCAAATTTTAAAATATAAAAGGTTAATTTTCTTAAATATAAAATAAAAATAAAATTCGGAATTTGGGTTGGGCGTGACCTCAACCCAACCCTACACTCTAATTAAATTAGATTGAAAAAATTCAATTTAAGCCTAACCCACCCCAATTGTAAAAAGGTTGTTGGATTCGGGTTACCCGTTGCCCCAACATACTAGAGAGAGAGGGACGGGTCTCTCTATCACCACAACCATGGCGTGTTCGCCCCATTCAACTACGGCCCCACTCCAATCGATCCCCACCGTCGAAAACAAAATCGAGAATCGAGAGATTTAAATTGAACTTGGAGCATTGGAGAGCGCGAAGAGTGAAATAGTCGATAGGTAGGGGGGAGAGAGAGAGAGAGAGAGAGAGAGCACTTTTACAGTACAGTGAGATCTCGAAGAGTGAAAAAGATCGAGAGAAGAGAGAGCGAAGGATGGAGATTAAATGCCCCGTCTCAGGAGAGACAATTCGAATGCCGGTGCTTTCAAATCGAACGGGATCAGAGTCATACTTCCTTACGGAATTCGAAGACTTAGGCATTATAGGTATACACCATTTTTTTGACTTTCATCTTCTTATCCTTCAAGAATTCAAAGAATTAATGTTTTTGTTTCATCGATTTTTAGGGAAAGGTGCTTTCGGCATCGTGAAAAAATGCCGAAATCACCTTGATGATGGCCTTTACGCAGTGAAGATCGTCTCTGCGAGCTCTATCAGATTCGAGGATGTTTTGCGGTAAGAAAATTTAATTCCATGTGTTTTGGGAAAAATTTCAGTTATAGGGCCATAGTATACTTCTGTATATGAATTTGTTTCGAAAACTATTACAGGAGTATAAATTGATGTCTAAAATTCTTGTTCTTTACCTTTTTTAGAATTCTCTTGTCTATGTGTACGAGTATATACATTTGAAATTCCCTTTAATCATTGAGTATAATTGAATTGTATGGGTATGTGTGGCACCTATGATTGGATACATTTGTGTAATTTTTCTACTTCTTTTTTAATGTTATTTTTTTAATACACAACTTTCTTTTGAGTTGTTCTATTCCAATATTTGATGGCATTGTTGGGGTTATACTGGTTTATTTTACTGTTTTCTACTTGTAATTTATTTTACTATTATTATTTTTTACTTTATTGAGAATGCAAATAGTTGTGACACTCATAATGGGTTCCTTTCCCTTCTTTTTATCATCAGATATTCGAATTTATTATACTGTTAGTTAAATTTTCTTATATGTGTTTGCTATGGTAAATTATTCAGGGAGGTAAAGGCACTGTCTGGCTTGCACCACCCACATGTTGTGCGCTACCATCAGGTTTATCATCAGTCCTTGCTCGGATGCATTTTTAATGTGTTATGTTGCAATTGATTGTATAATCTGCAATATCATTTTTTCTTTTCCATTTTCCTAACCTATCGTTATTGGTCTATCTCTTTTCTCCTTTTGCCTATCTTTTTGTTGGTTCTCTCTTGTCCTCTCTTTCTTTCATATTCTCTTCTTTTTCACTCTCCTTGTGCTTTCTCATTCTCCTTGTTCTTTCTCCTTCAGTCTTTCTCTTTCTCTATTTTAAGTTTTCATTTTTAATAAATCCTGCATAAGTTGCATTGTTAGATTCACTTTTATGTGTTTTTATTTTTTAAAGTTCATTTTGGCCACTTATTTATGTAGAACAACTAAAACAGTGCCAATAGGAATTAGCTTCCTTGAAGTCTGTTTGCGTTCCTAATATAAGTGAGCCAAAAGGTTTGGACATTATGATTTTCTACTGTGTAGATCTGGAATATTGGAGAGGAAGGAGATGAGAAGAATGAGAGAGCATGCTTTTACTTTAAATTTTTTTTAAGCCATATAATTCAAAAGTGGTCACCCTACACCTTTTTCATGGGAATTTTTTTTTAATTAATGTTTTTGAAGTCTAGCCTTTTTTTTTTTTTTTTTTTTTCCTTCTAATTTTTAAAGCTTGATTTGAAGTTAATTTTAGGTTTCTGAAAGCATTTCTTTCTTACTCTTCTCATTTTATCTTCACTGTTTATCATTCAAAGTATGTTAAATTACTTTTAAATTTGGAATTCCTAATTTTCCGACCTTGTTCTTAGGAGAAAGTAGCAATTTTCAGAGCGAAATATTTTAGTAGGTGGGCCCCACTGAACTTGTTGGATCTGTAAGCTAACCCAACAATTATGAGGTTGTCGTCCTCTAGCTTATTTAAAGGTATATAGTTCAAAATAAAATTTTAAATTCATCTTTGTATAGAGAAGGGGCATTTCTTAGTAATTTTTGGATATTTTTTAGGGTAATTTTTTGACCTTATTCTTAGGAGAAAGTAACAAATTTGAGAGCGAGATATTTTAGTAGGTGGGCCCCACTGAACTTGTTGGATCTGTAAGCTAACCCAACAATTATGAGGTTACCTTCCTATAGCTTATTTAAAGGTATATACAATTTTAAATTCATCTTTGTATAGAGAAGGGGCATTTCTTAGTCATTTTTGGATTTTTTTTAGGGTAATTTACGGTGACCTCCCCCCCCCCCCCCCCCCCCCCCGGGGGTTCGGGCTTGTTACAGGTAGCTACAACTTAGGCACTTTTTGGACAATGACACCCCATTTCATAAATGAGATCCAAACATAAATGTCTAATATGCCCCGCAATAAAATATTGTATTTTCATCTAAAATATTAGCTCACCTAAAATGACCACACTACCCTTAGTCAATAATCAATATACACCACATGTATACATTTTTGGAGCCAGAGTTTGTTGGACACCTGTCTCTCTAACCTTCTTCTATCTACCCCAACACCACCCACCACCGCTTTCCCATTATTTCTTTCTCTCCATTCACTCACCATCGCCACCACCACCCACCATCGCCTCCACCACCCACCATCTTCACCTCCAACACCGCCCGCCCCTTTTTTCTCTCTCCCTCCACTCGCCACCGCAACCTCCACCCTATGACTACCACCCACAATTAATTCCTTGCAAAACCTCACAATACACACCACAACCACCGCCCTAGCTTGCGATCGAAACCCTAAAATTGCATATTGCAGATTATCGAAACCCTTCAATGTTTCATCATTCGACAATTGACAGCCCCACCACCACACACCACCAGTGAGTCATTTGCTCTTCTAGGTGATAAATTTCACCAACGAGCCAATGGCCTAGCGGTATCAGGTCCCTACTTTCTAAAGGGAGGTTAAGTGTTTAAGCCTCAGTGGAAGCATGTGTGTGTGAGTATTAACTAAGAAAAAAAAAAAAAATAGGTGATAAATTTCCCACGGACATAATGATGCAATGCCAATGGAAAAGGACTTTCTTAAAACAGTTGAAGATCCTAAGCAGACTGTACTGAGATCGCATTAATAGGGGCAACATTGTTTATTGGGTTTAAGTCATTAAGTCATAAATTTGTCTTAATTTTCTGTTTAATGTTTGGCTTAAGCTGTTTAGTTGGGATATTTTTGTCATTTTTAACTTTTATTTAATGAGCCATGTGCCTATTAAGTGAGTCACGTGACCATTTAAGGGTTGTTTTGTTAATTTTAGCATCTTTTATTGTGCTGGATAGAATATTAGCCATTAGATTATATTTATAAATAGGGTTAGGATTAAATCTTTGCTAGGGCATCCTTTGTGGTTTACAAAAGGGTTGTTCCAAGTTGTATTCATCCGTTTTTTTTTTTTTTCGTATTATTAATATATTCAGCCTGCCAAAGCAATTTTTTACCTCTCCCTTTCTTTTGGGATTGAGTTGTGTGGGTGTTTAAGCTATTATTTTAGCTTGAACTAGCTCTCTGTTCTTACCTTCTTATAGATTTATTTTCTCTTTATAGTTGATTGCATTATAGAATTTCATAATTATAATAATCAAATTGTTGTACAACTTTAGTTTCAATGCCTTATCCTAGTGAAGCTCTGTGTTACTTGGACTCGCCGGTAAAGGCAAGAGTGTCCGTGTCGACATGGCACAGAGACGGACATGGGATTCGAGTCGGACTTTTCACTTTTGAGTCGGACACAGCTAATCGGTTGCCATTCACAGTGAAGCTCCATGGTAATCTCTGGTTTGAAAATGGGGTTTCTGCTGTGATGTTTAGAAAGGTTGAAAGAGCAGTTGTCGAAGAGAAAGAAAGTTCCTTGTTAAATGTGCCATTACTTTTTGATTCTTATAAATATATGATATATATCTTATAGTACTCCGTGCAGTGTGCTCACTATTTTTTAAGCAATCAGATCATCATTATAAATATTATATTATTATATTTGGGTTACAGGCTTACAGCTGTAACCCACTTCCATTTCACACACAAATACATTGGACTGGGCTACTATTTGGGCTTATAATAGTCTATTGTAAGGGTGTTTCAATTATTGTTGGGGCCCTTTTGTTTTGGGCTGGCTTTTGGGCCTTCTCACCTCCATTGTACATTTTCCATTATATCTATATATTTGCTTGAAATTTTGAAAAAAAAAAAAAAAAAAAAAAAAAACTGTTACAGGCATACAAGATGATGTGGCTGCCAAAAATTGTACTTTCTGTTGGCTGCTATTTCACGTGCTTGCTTTGATAAAAGAGAAAAAAGCAGACTTAGTAAAAAATATAAATTTAACTGGTGCAATACTAAAAGTTATACAAGGTGATAGAGTAATATTTCTCCTTTACAACATATATGAAGTGTCCAAGTACTCGTGTCTGAGTTTTGGACACTTTTATTCAGTGTCCCTGTGTCCAATAATTTGATAGATAGATGGATTTGACCTTTAGACACATACCCGAGTCCGACACCCGTACCCGAGTTGGGATAACCTAGGCAAAGCTTATTATACATGCTATGAAGAAGTTGTTGATGTCAAGGAAATAAAGATTGAGTGTAATGACCCGGTCATTTTTCTTCATTTTTTTTTTCCCAAATTTTACGGATAAATTTTTTTCCGTTGAATTTTCTTTTCTGAGATTGGTTTCTCATCACTTAGTGTCGTCTCGAGTGCTCGGAAATGGTTTCCGAGATTCTGTCCTTTGGATTGACAACTTAATTTGAGCATCGAGTCATTTTCACATTTTCACTTTTTGGACACTATTCATTTTTCGTCTTTTTCACGTTTGTCACTTTGTTGGCGCAACCTCACTTTTCGTCTTCGGAGTTGGTTTTTGACTTCATGTGCCTTCATTCTAAGTGGTTCTACGAAATACTTATCTTTACTTTTGTAGAAAAGTACTTTGGTTGCTTCCGGTGTCCATAAGAACATGGATGCAAAGATTTTTAGGAATCATTTTCTTTTCTTAGGGTGCTTTTCGTAAATATCTTTTGAAGATATTTATTTCAGGAGTTTTTAAGAAAATATCTTTTGGAAGATATTTTCATTCTGGGCCAGTTTTGCAGTTAACCCTTTTTGTAGGGGCCATTGTGCAATTAACAAAAGTTATTACAAAATATCTCGTTTTGAGCCTGGATCCTCGTACAGGGTTCATTTTCACTTTTCGTCGAGTCGTGAACTCTTAGAATTCCTCTCGGTCGTTTTTCCCAGTTTTAGGGATTTCTGACCTCGGTTGCCGCCGAACTTGTTCGGGGCATATCTTCCTGCACGGGACTTGGTTTTCGACGCCATTTCTTTCGTTCATTTTTTTTTCATTTCGGTTTTTTTTCGTTCACGGTGTTTTACCGTTTAAGCGCGTCTGCGCGAATTCCACTTTTTTCGGACTTGGCGGGGCTCTTTCGGGGCACTTTTAAGGATTTATTATAAATAGAATGACTTAAGGTGAAAAATGGGATTGTATCATCTCTTTCCCCTCTCTTGGCCGACCATCCATGGCAGCCATGGTTGCCCCTCTTCTTCCTTCATTTTAGCCTTTTTCCCTCGTGTAAAATATCGTAGTGCCTTAGCGTTTATCGAAGGCCTTGATGACGCGCACCTTTCCTCCTTATTAGAAACCATTTCCGACCATTTTTGAGTTCGAGTTTCGAGTTCGGTTTGGATTTTCATGGTGCCTCAAAGGTTAAAGTTGCTTCCCTTGTTGTCCCCGACATAACCTAGGAGTATCGTCGGATTCAGAGCACTTTTCTTTCGGTGGGGATTTGAGATTTCATCTTAAATTGAGGTAGGGGATGTCTTAGGTTTAATTAAATGTTGTATTGATTGTTTTATAGACTTATACAACTTGTATGCATGCTTTTGTTCAAGTCCTAGAAATTAAATTAATTTGATTTAAATTCTACTCAATTGTACCTTGCTTGTATTCCATTTTGGACTTGATATATGGCATGACCATGACTTAATCCTTGTTATATATTAATTTGGGATCATTTG